ATAATCTTCTTCGTGTTTTGATGATTCTCATTCCCAAGAACTTGTTAACTTCTCCAAAGTCGTTGATTTGTAAGCTTTTCAGTGAATCAAACAGCTCGTTCATTAAGTCGACATTGGTCCCAGTGACCAATCAATCATCCACGTATATTCCAAATAGTAATATTCCACGATCATCCTTCCTATAAAATAAACATGGTTCAACATCGATTGCTTCAATCCCAAATCGATCAATGTTGTACTAGGTAACCGATTCCATAATCTACTGGCTTGTTTCAAGCCGTAACAATACGATTTCATTTACAGATTTCACACCCAACTCCTTCAATAATTGATCCCGTATCTCCATCCCTTGTGAGATCTTAAAATAAATGGGGATTTCCTCTTCAGCGGATGCTCTAACGTAAGCATTAGGCATATTTTTTCGTGTCTAGCTGGTACCTTCCAGTGTTGCGCCATTGCCAATATCACTTTGGCAGTGATCATCTCCATTACATCCGCATATGTAAGCATGAAATCTCACCAAAGCCTTGTTCATTTCCGCATGCAGTCATTCTTGCTTTGTGTCTTTCTTTTCCACCTTGTGCGTTGTTCGTGGTCTTAAATACCCATTTGGTATTCAGTGTTTTCATGTCTTCTGTCTTCATCACTGGTTTCCACGTGCCGTTCTGTTCTAATGAGTCAGGTTCGGACTTAATCGCAACAGTCCATAGGTTTTTATCCTTGGTCTTCATTGCTTGATTGTAGGCTCTAGGAACGTTGATCACTAGATTGGCAGTCTCCTCATTGCTCTTTTGCTTTGAAGTTTGTCTTGTAATCATTTTCTTAGCAGATCTCTTATTGTTCTTCTTGTTCAAAGCCTTGTTCGACTTGGACCTCTTTGTCACTTCGATTTTCTTGTCTCCTGCTGGGTGCTGGTCATCCATTGCTCCTCCATCGTCCTGGTTTTGAAGCACATTCTGTGCTCTCGCTTGCAGCTCTGCATTTTAGGCCTCCGTGAACGTCTCTTTAAACTTCAAGTGAGTGGTGAAAATCACCTTCTTCGAGTCATGTAGGTAAACTATGTATCCTTTGATTTCTTCTAGAATTCCCAGGATGGTACCTGACCCTAGACGCTTCTTTAGAGCGGATCTTGCTTTCCCTGGGTCTTTAAAGATTTATGTCGTACCTATCTTTATTTACCTTTTTAAACACTCGGCATAGCGATCCGAACACAGCTATGTCTCTCACGCTTGCTGTGCTGTCAGTCAAAGCCTCAATTGGTGACGTCCTTCCAGCATTCAATCTGGATAAGCTTCTGTTCAGGATGACGCACGCGTATTTCACGGCGTCGCCCCAGAATTGTAGTGGTAAGTTTCTGGCAAACAGCATGCTTCTCGCCATACCCATGATTGTTCTGTGCATTCATTCGGCCTTGCCGTTCGACGCTTGATTGTAAGGTTCCGACATTTGTCTCTCTATTCCAGACCTGTTGCAGAACCAATCTACGTTGGCATACTCGCCACCCCCATCAGTACGCAGCACGCTATCCTTGCAATTAAATCGCTTCTCGAAATACACTAAGAAATGCTCAAACTGCTTCGCTGCTTGATCCTTAGTTTTAGCCAGGAATACTCGACAATAATTCGTCTTATGGTCGACGAAGTTGATCAAGTATCTATTGCTTAATCTGTCCCTTGGTGTGATAGGGCCCTTAATATCACTTACTGTTACACCTCCAATGCGATCGATAGGTTCATTGGATCCTGTATCATTCCTGGGTTACTTGTTTCTTGTCTGCTTGCCTTCGTGGCAAGCTACACAGACTTTCCGTGTATCATTCGTTATTTCTATGCCTGAATCTGGGTTCTTGGCGATTCTTTCGATCGTGTCATAGGCCAGATGTCCCAAACGCTGGTGCAAGTTGGTCAAGGTGTCCCTCACAGGGGCTATACTGTCTTCCTTTGCATTCGATGTGAGTGCTGAGAGC